ACCTCAATATAAATAGGGGGGAAAAAACAAAACTTGAAAGATTTAATCCCAAACTGAAGACTTCATTCAAGGCCAAATTTGACCACTTCTTCATTATTTCCAGTTACCATAAATCAGATCTTATTTTTCTCAGTGCCGAATTGCATGGTAAATGCAACTTGCTTTTGTAGCTGGCCTGAACAATGCTGTCACTCCAGTCACTTCACATACTTGCAGCAGCAGTTTTTTTTCTGGTGATGTGTCATGCTGAGGAGAAGTGTGCAGGAACTCCTGGAATCCCTGGCACCCCAGGAGCCAATGGATTGCCTGGAAGAGATGGCAGAGATGGTATGAAAGGAGACTCAGGCCCACCAGGTATGGTCAGTGGTTATCTCCTCTTTTAAATAGATGTATTGCTGTGTTGACTATTATGCTTAGTAAACTAAATGGTTTATCACCTGTTTCCTTGAGTCAGATGAAATAAAGAAATGGTGAGTTCTATTTAATGCATAGTGGAACCCTCTTACGGTGAAGTCAGTAAATACAGTGAATTTCTGCTTAGAGTGAAATTGTCCTATAGTTCCAACTTGTAGTGAACTTCTGGTGGTGCAACAACTCTCTGTGGTGTGGAGCAGGAGGAACATTTATGTTGTGGAAATGAGAGGGAAACAAAAGCAGTTCTTTGGCAGAAGAGTGAGAAGCTGAAGGAGAAAAAGTGGCAATTTTATTAGAGTTGGTTAGGAATTTTCTGACAATTTTTTTGGTCATAAAATGTCAATTTGTCAAAATCATAATGGTTTGCAGAAACGGGTTATTTTTGACAAATCTCACAATTCAAAAAACGGGGGGTGGGGGAGAAAAAAGGTTCAAAATTGTCAAACATCCAATTTTCATATTTTTTAAAAGAAAAGTTTGGGTTTTGGCTCAAACCCAGTTTTTGTTTCAGTTTTTTTAGTTGAGTTGTAGTGTAAAAAAAAGTGGGGGGCATAAAAAAGTCAAAAACAAAATGTTTTGAAATGATAGAAATAAAACACTTCAGTTGACCTGATCCAAACTTTTTTTTTTTTTTTTTTTTACTTCTACTTTTTTGTCTTGATTTGGGACAGAAAAGAAAACTGATATCTCAGACTCTTGTGGAAACAATCTCCCACTCAGCTCCAATTGTTAATTTGTCCCCTGCCCCGTGACAAGCTTCCCTTACAGAAAAGGATTGTGGCTTCTTCAGCCATTTTTAAACCCGCTTCCCAGTGTCAAAATTAAATGGGGCGCTGGACTATAGTCCAAATTCATTTTTTTGCAAGAAAATTAGATGAAAGTGGCTGTTGGGCATAAACTACAACTGATTTCTTGGGCATAAGAGGAGAAGGCAACAGTTCAGGGTCTTCTTAAAATGAGAGAGAATTAGGGCAGAAAACTAACAATTGATCAATGCATTCACAAGCATAGCTTTCCCCATCTCTTTTCAATTACCCTTTCAGTGGGAACTACTTTTCATGCAGAAGGATACTTTCTATAATGTTCAACAAAACTGGTTTTTAAAATGAATGAATGAAAATGTAGTACCAGGAAGCAATTACATGTCAGTGTATTAATTAGGCTTCTGATGCACTTCTCAGGTTGTTGAAGCCAAGGGGCTGTATGCACCATTGGTCTGTTAATGCACCACCTGCAGATGCTGATTGTTGCATTGTGCAATATTCCTTCCATGCCAAAAGGCAGGTCAGAAGCTTTCTCCAGCTCTATCCCCAAAGATGCTCCAAGATTGAAGTAGTTGGGCTCCTAACATGCATTTGGTTGCTCATTCCAGGGAGTCAGTGTTTTGCCTTTGTTATGAAGCCAACAGACACCTGAGGCTTGTGCATTAATGAAGTTATTCAGAAGCACAATGCAGTTTGTTGCTTTGCTGGCCAGCATCTGTTAAACCCATGTTTATTCTGAATTTCCCATAAAATGCATCAGTTGAAAAGAAATTTTGTACATTTTTCATTTGTGTGCTTCTCTTCTCCAGGTCCTCAGGGGCCACCCAGTGGCATGCCAGGTCTTCCTGGAAGAGATGGGCTTCCTGGGGTGAAAGGGTCCCAGGGTGAAAAAGGCAACAAGGGGGAGAGAGGGGAGCCTGGACCACAAGGTGAATAAGACAAATCTTTGTTTAGTCCAAAAAAACTGGATACTTGTGCTGTGTATAAAGCTGTCCAGGGAAAAGTAACTGAGTCTATTGAAGTGCAGTTCTGCTATTAGAAGTGACTGTAAAAATGGTGCCTTTGTTATTCAACTGATCTGCTTCCTGTATCTATCATATCAGACCTCCTGACTGTATTGATTAAAATACGTTTTACTACCTTTTACTCGTCTTACAAATGCAGAGCCAGCACAGCTCCGAGACACTGAGAAGGAATCTATTCCTCCTTGTGCAGCAGCAACAGAATCCTGTACTGAGTTTCAATCAGTTACAGTTATTCTACCCCACTAATGGCAATGGGACTGTACAGGTGTCACAGATGGCATAATTTCACCCGCAGAAGTTTTATTACTGGTGATGATTTTGTATGAAAATCATAGCCAGCTTGATTCTCAGATACCATGAAAAACTTGCATTCTGGGAGTTTTTTTGTTTTTAAAATCTCTATATCTATAAACTATGAATATGTCATATGTCATCTTGGAAAGAACTTACAATGACATTTTTGCAGTCACTATTCAGATAGAAGCATACTGAAAAACTATTAGAGTTTAACTGATCATAAAGGAAACAGAGAAGAGAATTCCAGTTCTGTTCAATATCACAGGAACTCCACACCAACTAAAGTTTTACATTGTGGCTGTCAAGTTGCAAATTTTAATCAGAGCAAGTTCTGATTAGCTCAGCCTACACAGGATACAGTTTCTAAAATATTAACCCTTTCGTGGATTTCACATACACAAAAGACTTCAGATTAGAAAAATTGATCTTATTTCACATGTAATGTGCTTTAAGTAACTACGCTCCAGTAGTTGAAACTCTCTGGAGTTTCAACAAGCATATACTTTATTTATTATGTATAAGAACAATCAATATGTGATAGGGTTTCTTTGAAAATATATAAATGCAGGGAAATAGAATTTTCCACCACAGAAAATGAAACTGACATACATCAAGTACAAGACAATTTTGGAAAATTGTTATTAATTGTATATGATGCATTTTTCATATCAGTGAAGTCCAGTTTAAATCAATTGTATAATTATTATTATCTCTAGGCCTGCCTGCTTCTGTTGATCCTGAATTGCAAGAAAGCCTCCAGGTTTTAAAACATCGAATTACCAGACTGGAAGGAGGTAATCTTTCTGCTTTTCCTCACAACTTCTGTAAAATGCAATGTACAAAATGAACCGTGATAGCCCAACTTAAAGTAAGTTATATTTCAAAAATAGTATTCCATTCTAAAACTTTCCTCACCTAAACTTACTTCCAAGCACCAATTAAGAATGCTGAGGTGTTTGTTGCACATTGGAAGGACAGGAAAGCTGATCCAGCAGCCCAGCCTGAGATGTGGGAGACCAGGGTTCAATTCCTGCTCTGCCACAAATATCTTGTATGACCCTAGGCAAGTCACTCAGTCTGTCTGTACCATAACATGGGGATAATAGCACCGCCCTACCTCACAAGGGTGTTGTAAAGATAATTTGTGAGGCGCTCAGATACTGCAGTAATGGAAGCCACGCAAGAAAGATTGGTCAGTGTATGTGTGTCTATGCAGTATATAGTGCAATGCAAAAGGCTGTCCATAAGATAGGGCATAGACGGGGGCTTAGGGCTATACAACATACTGAGCATTCTGCATACTACATGTATGAATGGAGTATCAGAACTTACATAGACTAGAATCAAAAGGGACTAGGCACAGCATAGTGCGAAGGACTGTACTGTGCATGTCCAGCATGTAGGGCAGCACGTGGAAATAAACATCAAGCAGGCTATTGCAGTTTGTCTTGCTTGTACATGTTGCTTTTTGGGAGTAGGTTTCCCTCACCATGACCAACTGATTAATGTGCCACTCCCACTTTAGGGAGTGGAATCTGCAAGTCTTAACAGAGCAGAAAAGTTACCCCCTTTTGTCTAACTCTCCATTGGTTTATTTATGAGGAGGAGCAAGATACATGCAAGGTGAAGTGTGCGGCTCAGCTCTTTTGAAACACAGATCATCTGGGGAGGGTACTCACAGGGACTGAACTCCATCTGGAGAAGCTCAAATCCCTAATAGGAGACTGCTTAGGGCCCATTCCCTCAGCAAGAGGATCTATATAGGGTTGCCACAGTTGTTCTCCAAAGCAGATAAGATCTCTGTCGAGCTGACACAGGGCCTGATTCTCCCCGAGTAGCAAGGACCTTTAAGGAAACGCCACTCACATTCATTCAAATTGCATTAAAAAAATCTTGTTAAAAAGGATTTTGTAGTGTTATAGTTGAGCTCTTGGGAATCATTGAAACTGAGGCAGTTCTATGATGGCAGTAGTGCTTATATTCTCAATACACTCTGGGATGGTGTAGTCATTAGAGCTGTTGGGGAAAATTGGGGAGAAAAATCAAAGATTTTTGTCAAAATTACTTTCCTTTTCTCTTGTTAAAATTTGGAAAATTTCAATCAGCTCTACTGATGGCACATAACAGAGCAGGTCTGAAAGTGTATTTAGTATATGGGAGTAGAGCACACTTAGGTTGTAGGAGGAGAGACAGATGTCCATAGGTGAAGAATTATATAGACTCGCTGAAAAAACGAATGAGTTGGTAGGATTGACACAGAGGTAGTTCCTCCTTTTCTCCTCCTCTTCACTCTTTTCCTCTGTCTCTTTTCAATCCTCTTTCCTTTCTCCCTTTATTTTTTCCTCCTTCTTTCCCTTTCTATTTGTAATGTTCTCTTCTTTTCCTTTCTTTCATTTCCTCATGGTTTTTCTCCCATCCCAGGAGTATAGTAGGAACATGGACAGTATAAAATAAGACAAAAAACCAACCAGATCTTTTCACTTTCCTTTGCAGTCCTTACTTTGGAAGGAAAACTAACAGAAGTGGGGGAAAAAATTCTCGCTACCAATGGGAAAGAAGTCAATTTTGAAACCACATTAAAAGCATGCGAACATGCTGGTGGCTCCATCGCCACCCCCAGGAACAAGGAGGAGAACGATGCTATTTTGGATATTGTGAAACAGTTTAACAGATATGCTTATCTGGGTATAAGGGAGAGTGATGTTCCAGGTGAATTCCAGTATCTGGATGGGAAACCTCTGAATTATACCAACTGGCATGCTAGTGAGCCAAATGGCAAAGGAGGGGAAAATTGTGTGGAGATGTACACTGATGGAGGCTGGAATGACAGAAAATGCAACCAGTACCGCCTCACTATCTGTGAATTTTAAAGTATATCCTCTCAGTAATTTCATAGTGCAGAGTCCATGCAATATTCTGTGTCTCAGACATAAACAGGAGCCTGTTCTCTCAGCAATATAGCTAATGTCTTCTGTGATTATTTTTTCTGAGAGAAACAAAATCATGATGTAATATTTTCCTTCCTCATGCTTACTAAGGAAATAGTAGCTATCGAAAGTGATTGATTTGTAACTAGAATTATCCCTAATTTGAGAGGGGGTTAATTATAGTAACCAAACTCTGCCTTGTCTCACTGTGGCTGAGTAAGCTCCAGGTAAGGATTTCAGGGTTTGGCTTAGTGTGTTTGAGGAGTCCCATGCTAAGACAACTTTGTACATTCCATTGTAGTTACATGCCTGGATAATGCAGCATATACTATGCCACAACATTAGAGGAACAGGTGTCAATCCTGGAAGGAAATGCACACAGGTATACTTCAGTGGATCTGCCTATATGCATCTCTTTGCAGGACTGAGGCCATACTGTGTAATATGAAACCCTGCAATAAAATTCAACTCAGTTATTATAAAGGGAGATCACAACAAAAGCCCTGGAAATCATAGATCATTTAGCTATACTGCAAGCTGCCCATTTTGTTTTTGTGTGTCAAATACCCTGTTCTCCTATAGCACTATAGAAATAGTCATTTACAGTATTTTACAGTTCTGTCAAGACTCTTTTATATCATACTAACCACTGGACAAACAATATCATTCTGATGTGTAAACTGAATAGATTTTACACACCCACACAAACCACATGCACATCTGACCACCATCATCAGACAGCAAAAGCAAGGTTTGAGAAGAGGGCTGCCAGCAGTGACATAGGTCCTGATCCAAAGCCGTTGATTTCAAAGAGCTTTGGCTCACCACCACCACCACTACTACTACTTGGTATTCAGATTGAGTAACTGGGCTGTGCATTGGGAATCCTCATAAGCAGAAGGGAGTGAGAAATTTCTCACACACTTCCCCATCCTGTGGAGCCAGAGCTCTTGGTAACTTGGTAACCAGAGTTTGCGGCCTTGAGGCCCTAACAAACATTCCTGAGGGCACATCCTGCTCTTCTAAAATGCATGTATCGGCAACTTCAACACAATTCTTATCAGGAAGGATGTGGGGTCAAGCTGCCCTTTCTGTGGCACCCAAACCCCCTCCCCTCCTGCCTTGGTCAAGCTGAGGCTGCTGCATAGCCATTTTACGGCCTGCTGACTTGACTACTTTTAGCAATGAGCAACAGTAGGTTCAGACACTTTACTGGTTTGTCAAAATCTCCCCATACACAGCTTCCCAGGAGTGTCCTCAAACCATTCTCTCACCAATGCAGGAAGAGAAGGAGGTACCACGGGTATACAGAGTAATAGACACACTGGCCCTAGCTTCTCCTTTTCCCAAGATCTTCCTGGATGTTGCTACCCAGGGAGCCTGCATAGTGTTGGACTCTACACCATGCCGGGGAGTGATCTTTTTCCTATCCTACACTGTAGGGACTCCTCTGTATGGCCAATTCATACACTGTGCTTCAGCAAAACTTTGAGTTCCAATATTAGGGAATGGAGTATTTTTTGGCAGTAAAGGAGGGGTCCCTTGTACAGGCCAATACACAGCAAAGGTCTCCAGCCAGTCTAAGAATGTGCAACATGACTGCTACTTCAAAATTGGCATAGAATAGCAACTCTTGATATAATGTCCATTATGTGGATTTCATAATGTTGAATCTTCACTTGCAAAATAACCTCTTTAAAGTCCTATTGTTGGAAAGTTGTCTTGGCCAAAAATATGCCAACTAGAATGGCATAGATTCTGTGAAGAAGGAAGATTTACTATTCTACAAACAAAACTCTTGGCTTTATCTATCTTTGATTATTACAATGTAGCCACTTAGTTGATTTTATCATTTCATTAGACAGCTAGAAGGACTTTCCTTTCTTATATGAAGATTGCTGGATAACACCCGTCCTTGTGATAAATAGATTTAGGAGGGGTTATACTTCCAAAATTAAACACAGACCTGGAAACAGCAGGAAATCTGCCCCTTTTGTAGGACTTCAACATTGTACCAAAACCAAAGTCTGATGCTGAGGCCGCTGTGGGTGACTTAACATAGGGTTCAGCCTGAGTACCTGCATCTCCCCAGTGATCTCTTTTCTTTTATGTGGATACATGGGATACCAGGCAGCAGGACCTGTCTGCTGTCTAGAGTTTCGCTTATTTTCTCCTGTTGTTTTACAGCATCTGGATGAGTGGGTTCTCTTCTCTTAGAGGCCGTGAAAGGAGCGATGTTTTGTGGTGCTTTTTAATGATGCAGCTACTGGTGTGCAAAGTAACCTGCTCATTCAGGTGCTGAAAAACACCTAGAGAGACAGTGTGGTTCACTAGACTGGACTGAGACTTGAGAGTTTGGGTGAAATCTTGGTGCCACTGAAGTCATGGTTCTGTTTCTTGTTCTGCTGCTGACATGCTGTGTGACCTTGGGTGAGTTGTTTCCCTTCTCTGGGTCTGTTTCCCCTCCCATTCTTTGCCTTTCCTGTCTGTTTGGAATGAAAGCTATTGGAGACAAGGATTGTCTCTTAATATGTGTATGCACCGTGCCTCTAGGTACTATTGTAATGCAAAAATAGTAATAAGAAAAAATGAAGGACACTCTAGAACTCAGAGGCCCGACCGTCTATATCTGAGATGGACAAGGTTTCTTGTACTGTTCCTTTTTGAACCTCCCCTAATGTGCAGTTTCTTGACTCCTAGAATGCACCGAAACCAATTTGGATAAATACTGAAGTTCGGAGGCCTTTTCTAACCTTTTTCAGGTTCAACCATCATTAATAAGATTATTACCTTCTCCTGGCCACTGCAGGAGTGGTTGTTACATGAACTGATGTATTAAAGTTTATGAAAACTGATATTTGCCCTGTAATTTTTGAGACAAAAGCACATAACGCTTGGTATCTTTACTCAGCTGTGTAAAGTTAATTAAATATTCCAGGAAGCATCAGTGATTAAGTATTTATTCAGAAAAAGATTTTTTCAGAAAAACATTTGGGAATCAAGAAGTTAAGTGTATTTGACGTCTAGCTGGGAACCTGTCTAGCTCTTGTTACCTTTAATGACAGACCTCTATTATGAACCAATAGTTGTAATAGGCTTAATTCCACATTGATCTTTGAATTTGCCTATTTATAGCGAGCTCAGTTTCTAAAGCTTTCGTGCACTCTGATAATAGTAACCAAATAGGTAGTATCTAGTCTATTGTTCAGGGTATCATGACATGGTTATCCCCTATAATGTGTTCTCCAATGATCTCCAATTCAATTGGAAATATCTAAACCAATGGGGCCTCCACCACTTCCCTTGGGGACCATATACATTCAAATAGATGTCATGATTAAGAAATGTTTCCTGCTATTTAGCCTAAATCTTCCCCTGTGCTAGACTTCATCCCATTACTCCCAGTTGGACCAGCTCTAAACAACTCCTTTTCCTCCTTGGTGTAAACACCCCATCATTGATGTGATTGGGTGCCTCGGGCAGCCCACTCTGAGAATGCCACATTCAGGGCAGACAATCCCCCAAAACTGGTGGTTTATTCTTTAATTAGATTCACCCAACCGGTAACAAAACAGCTTCTGCAGTACCACACTGATTAACCAGAAACCAAACAACAGTTCCCTTAGGCATTCCAGCCCTTGGCTCCCATCTGGGCATCCCTATCTAATATATTGAGAGGTTATTGAAAACCCGCTTTACCATATGTGAGGTTCTTTCTAAGCCCAAAGGATCAGACCCATAGACCGAGGTCAATATATAACACAGATCTTACCCAAATGTCATGCTGTCAGCCAATCCTTAGTAAACTAACTAAAGATTTAATAATAAAAGAAGAGAGTCATAAATAGATCATATACATGCAAATGATTGTGAAGTCCTTATATCAGGTCTGTAACACTGATGTCATAGGCTGCTGGCTTGTAAAGTCTGTCTGATAACTTCCAAAAGATTGAAAGGACCTCAAGCCATAGTTCAAGATGCTCATTTTAGCTATAAATTCATAGTCCAGAGCAGAGAGCGGCAACATGGAGCTGTTTCAGGTGTCTTTTTATATCCTCTGCCATATGCATGGAATATTACTGTCCCAAACAAAGCCCACAGCCCCTGTATGTGGAAAGTTACTGGCCCAAGGTGGAGTCCAGGTTCACCTGAGCATATCACATGCCCTTACATGCTTTGCTGACTCATGCGGGTGGCCATTGGCTTCTTGCTGTCTGAGGCATGAAGAGCTATCTGGACAGGATGAGGGTTTGTCAATGGCCCATTGTGAGAGTGGAGTGACTGGGCAATAAAATGGCAGATGAAATTTAATGTTGATAAATGCAAAGTAATTCACATTGGAAAGCATAATCCCAACTATACATATAAAATAATGGGGTCTAAATTAGCTGTTACCACTCAAGAAAGAGATCTTGTAGTCATTGTGGATAGTTCTCTGAAAACATCCACTCAATGTGCAATGACAGTCAAGAAAACGAACAGAATGCTGGGAATAATTAAGAAGGGGATAGAAAATAGGACGGAAAATATCATGTTGCCTCTATATAAATCCATGGTATGCTCACATCTTGAATACTGCGTGCAGATGTGGTCGCCCCATCTCAAAAAAGATATATTGGAAAAGGTTCAGAAAAGGACAACAACAATTATTAGGGGTATGGAACGGCTTCCGTATGAGGAGAGATTAATAAAACTGGGACTTTTCAGCTTGGAAAGAGATGGCTAAGGGGAGATATGATTGAGGTCTATAAAATCATGACTGGTGTAGAGAAAGTAGAAAAGGAAGTGTTTACTACTTCTCATAACACAAGAACTAGGGGTCACCAAATGAAATTAATAGGCAGCAGGTTTAAAACAAATAAAAGGAAGTATTTCTTCAGACAACGCACAGTCAACCTGTGGAACTCCTTGCCAGAGGATGTTGTGAAGGCCAAGACCATAAA